AATGAGCAATTAAAGATTTTTTTGTGCAAAAACTTGTTGGTCTAGTAAAAGATATCATCTGTACTATGAGTCCTGATTGCCTTTTCCTCGAGACCAGGAGCAGGCAATTATTTTGGGCGCAGGGCCACTTACTGAGTTTTGGCAAGCCATCGAGGGCTGCATGACAGGCAGCCAGGGACAGATAAATATTAATTTTCTAAATGTTTTAGGGGTCTCGTGGGCTGGATAGAACAGCCTGGAGGGCTGCACTCAGCCCAAGGGCTGCGTTTTGCCCACCCCTGCTCTAGACCAATACAGCTACAACCTGGATACCTGGGAAAATGAGTCATTTGCTGGGCCTCAAGGGACTCCAATGGAGATCCTTTCCAGGGAGACTGCTGCTTTGACTGTGGCAATTAGGGGACTCAAGAGACCGTTACCTCACGGAGAACAAGGTAAAGTTATCCCCTAATTTACAGCTATTTGCATCTGTTACAGGTACTAAGGAAATCGCCTTCAGGCAGGCCCTTTCATTTCCTGTCCCCAGTTTTCTTCAAGGCATCAAGAAACGCAGCTTGCCTGATCTAAAGCAACCTGGATTCAGAGTGTATATTTGGTCTAAGTGACTGCCAGGAGCTCTCTAAAAGGATGAAACATCCTGTTCCCTCTAAGGAGACAGAGGTCTGTGGACATGAGAGCCAGCATGGAAAGTCAAGGGTGCAAGAAGGCTGCATTTGTCCTCTGCAGCAGTACCAAGACGGGGCAGAAAGCACCTCTGCAGACCGAGAGAGGGAGAGACCCCAAGGACAAGGCTTGGGGGCTGCCAGACATGCATAAATGGAGGGTTTAAGAGGAGGAATAAATACTTCCAAGGTATAAAATCACATCTTCTCACCATTTTCGCATGAAATTCTGTCCACACTCCTATGGCAGCTCTACTGCCCCCGTGGATGTGGGGACACAAGCCAGCCCATCTCCCCCGCTGCTGCAGTAATTAACCTTAAACAAGCGCTGGCACAAAAGTGCTGTTATTTCATAGTTGCAGACATTCCTCCCTACCCAGTTTACGATGAAGCACCAACTAGCTATAAACATCTTGGGAAAGGCTTGGCCTGGGTTCACCTTTTCATAAGAAGGATGTCAGGCTCTGGCATGAAGCCAGCTATTCCCGTGGCTCTAAACCACCCAATTACTCCTTGTATTGCCACCAAAAGCTTCCTTAACAAAACCCTTTCATTGCACACCCCCCCAGGCAGCACCCAGGCCAGATACGGATGCGTGCCCTTCTGCAGTGAAAATGCACCAGCGAGTCAGTTCCACTAAAACTTTCCATCTCCTTTCACATAAGCTGTGAATCCTCTTCCCTGTGGTAGAGAGGGAAAGCACTAACCCCACCGTCTATACGGGGTGCAATATGGGCCTCAGCATCATAGGCATCAACTTGCCCTACTCTTCTGGATAAATCCAGGCTGTCCAATAGGACCATATATGCAACGATGCTCAGGCACTGAAATGCATATCCCAGTTATATTCACCCAGGAAAAGCCAGACAGCGTCCTAGTGGGGTGCCCTGACACTAGGCTTCATAACACACAGGTCCAAGGACTCTGATGACTTTCCCAAGTCAAGATGTCTAAGAGCTCTGAAAGCAAAGCCACAATTAAAAGCAGCAAGGAAATCTGTTCCCTAGCCACAGGTCCCCTCCCTTCAGCACTAAATACCAGTTCACCCTCTTTTGCAATGGTTAACAGATGCTGGTTTTACTTCTAGCAGCCCTCGGGGCAGCATCACAACTCTCAGGTGGCTTTTTCACCTTTTCCGGCTTTATCAGTATCAGACGCTCTAAAACCCAACGATGCAGGAGCAGATGCGAGTCTACAACCAAGGGACAAGTGTCTCCCCGGCCTGCAACAGGACCCTCTGATCTCTCTTGCAGACAAAGCCGTAAAGTTTAAGCTGCTGCTGGAACTAAGATGCCCAGATATGGGCCCTTAACAGAGTGATTCCAGCTGGGTGGCTGTGCTTTGTAAAACTGCTGTTTGCTGGCTGCGACTGACCTTCCTCCTCCTTTCGGATTTTAGCACCTCGAGGAGGAAGGAGAGGAAGCGCTCTGGAAATGGAGACCAAAAAGCTGAAAAGCAAATCACGTCACCCTTCCCACAAGTGCCAGGCTGGTGCCAGCTCCATTCCGGTCAGTAAGGAAGCAAATCTGACTGGGGCAGCTCGCAGGCAGCAGGGAAGCACAGGAACAAAAGGAGCCTCTTCTGGCAAGGCACTTCCCCGACTGCACCCATCCTCTGACATTCAGAGAGCTGCAGAGCCAGTGCCAGCAGCCCCAGGCCCTCAGTACAAGGCCTGGAGTAACTCAGCTTCTGCACTCACAGGCTTCGATGCCTTTGTACCAGGGAGATAGTAGCTATCACTCACTGCACTGCATTTGAGTTGGACCAGGAGTTTCCCGCAGGGCACTGGAAGCCTTGGTTTCCTGCCAGAGAATTGCTGTGCACCCTGCTCCGGAGCTGGAGCCGTTACCTGCCTGTTTCGCAGGTATCCGAGGAATTTCAAAGCTTCTCTTCCCTTCGCACCAGGCAGTGCTGGCAGCCGCCTTGCAGATACTGTTGGGCTCCAGGGATTCATCTCCCTACCACTGCCTCCACAAAGGGTGGAAGCCATGCCAATCCTGTAACGGTCCATCTATGCTCCCCGGTGCCAGCTGCCCAGCCAAAAGGATTAGGAAGGAACCCAAGACTCCAGGGGCTGAGCAAGCACAAAGGAAAGGTTATGTGGACAGAAGGGTGACTCCTCTGAGAGAGGCATTAGACATGGGAGCAGACCCCTCCTTTCACTGAGGCTTTTTCGCTTGTGCCTCTAGCAAGTGCAATCCCTGCAGACAGTGGAGTTTGGGACAGGGCAACCACAGCCCCTCATACAGGGACCTTCACACACAGCCCAGCCATCTTCTCCAGCTCCCCATCTAGCCAATACTACCACTGCATCCTGCCCAGAAGATTAATGGGGGATGAATGAGGAGGCCTGAAAGAACAGAGTGGGAAAAAAAGGAGAGACTGAACTTTTAACCACAGTGTACTTTCCTCAGCATCCCACAAAGGCAGGACACTACTTCAGAAAACATCTGCAAAGCGACAGCCCTAGAAGGGACCGTGGAGGACCCGTGTGCAGTTTAACCGTCAGAGCTTCAAGAGCTGGCCAAGCCACCGGCACTGCTGGGTGCCTCGCCGGCTAAAGCTACAAAAGCTGCTCTTCTTTCATCGAGAGCTGCACTGCTACAATTTAGTGTTTACCTGCTGCAGGATAAAAGCATGCACATGTGGTCTGCACACACCCTAAATATAAAATAAAGTCCCCCACATGAGCCAACTCCCATCCAAGCAAGCTACAAATAATGAGGACAGTCCACCCATGCCCCTGCAGTTCTCCCCAGGTGGTTACTTCACTGTGTTCATCACGCATCCAAGCCACTCAGACTTGGGCATACAAATAGGGGTATTCATGCTGCACCTCTCGCCTCGCCTACAGGCGTTCACAACACCGGCTCCTACTTCCTCTCCAGCGCGGTGCAAGGGTACACTTGCGGCTCTTCTTACACTAGCATGGACTTGTGAAATTGCAATTGCCAGCCAGCCCTTTGGGGCACTTCAGCAGTGAACTGCTGGATCATCACAACAAATGCCCAACTTGCTGAATTCCAAGGCACAAACCGCTTATTGCAAGCAGTCTGCAGCCTCCGTCTGCCCCATTCATGCAGCCGGAAAGCCAGGGCTACTAGCCAGCAACCTCTCCTGTCAGACTGAGTGTGCTCTATTGACATGAAAAGCTTGGGCGTAGCTTCATGTCAGTACTCCCTGCTGAAGGGTCCATCTCCTGGGAGATGTTCCACTCCCCCTCTCCAGGCCCCTCCGGCTCCCACCCTGTGGGTCCTGTGAACTGGTACTGAAACTATTTAAATATTGAACGAGAGGGGACCCAGAGCGAGGCAATCTGCTTGAAAATGAAAAGGTTTCCCTTGTGCCTGAGACGGGCTTGTGCTTCAAAAAAGCTGCCTCCCCCTTTCAGTAGGGCATGGACAAAACCAGTTTACAGCAGGGAATTGCACACAGATGCCCATCACATCTCTGGGACACCACAGTGGGGAGAGACCACCAGAAAATGAGGGCAACTGCAAACAGGAGCCTGGCTGACCATGTCCTGCGCTACCCTGGCTGCCGAGACCGGACAGCTGCCCTCTCCAGACAGCACCACGGGCCAGGCAGCTGCAGTTGCTGTCTACGGTAGCAGAGGCCTGCAGAAAAGCCAGGGGATGCTGGACAGAGTTTGCAGCTTCTTGTATACAACGCAGCTCAGTTGTTGATTTTAGAAATAGTTTCTTTGCTGAACCCCTCCTCTACCCAAAGGAAGGTTCAGAAAAAAAGCAAACCTAAGGTCTTCTAGAGGAATTGTTCTCCAGCTGAATAGGAGATTCAAACATGGGAGGCAGTGGGAGTTGGCAACAAAGGTTACTACAGTGCTAATCCTTTGTACGTGCCAGCATCAGAGACCAAAGCACTATTGTCATTTTTTGAGAAGACCTTTTTTAAAGTTGATTTTTTGTTGCAAAAGCTCAGGGTTTAAATGCACAAGGCAAAGCGCTGCAGAACCACCCTTTACCCTCCTGGGACAGACACACTGGACATGACAGGAAGGAATACATTCAGGGGCCAGGTACAACCAAAAGCAGCAAGCAGGCTAATTTACTCAGGAAAATGCTGTGAAAATGGGCTCTTCTATTATTTGTACCATGCTGCAGCTTTGCATGGCCCTTGTTGGCCAATTCAGCCCCGCGTGACAACACTGGCCGGCACGAAGATTTTCCCATAGCTCTGTGCAAGGCTACAAAGCTCGGTCTGCTTCCTGTAGCCTGTCCTCTCACTGCAGCAGAGCTCTGTCTACCTCAAGCACATAAGAGCTCAGGTCCCGGAGCAGAGCACCTTGCAACCTGAGGCCACCAGCCCTCTTCGGCTTACCTGTCCGAGATCCAAGGTGACGTTAACCTCATTGAACTCCAGCCCCCGGGAAAGCGGAGGACTCTGCCACCAGCGCTCCGTGCCGTCGATGGCGTTGCTGATGGGATGGGCCTTGTTGCTGTTTGCAGAGGAGCAGATGTCACAGTATTGTCCCTGCCAGAAGCAAAAAGACAGCTGAGATTAGCACAGCATTGAAGCTGCTGGCACTTCCCAAACCTCTCCTGTTCATACAGAAAGAGCCCAAGCCTCAGTAGGGAGGGTTGTAAAATGAAGATAAAGAATAAGCAGAGGATGGGGCACCCTCGACACCCTCTCTACCTGCCCCAAAGATTTCTGTTTCCCCTTGCATGTCCTTTTCACAAAGGTTTAACAGATGAGTGCAGCCCAATCCCCACCTGGTATCCTACAGGGAGCAGGTGGGCTGGGGAGATTAGGGCCTTTGTAACCCTCCTTCACCCACTGCAAGGGCAAACTCTTACCAGGAGAAAGGAGCAAAATATGCCCAACTGGAACAGCATCCCCTCTGTGCCCCAGACATGCACACAGTACTGGGGAAAGACCCCAGGCTAAAAGCCCTAGAGACTACTTGTCTCTAGGGTGTGAAAGAGCAACTGCCCCAGTGATAATAAAGACATCAGCTCAAGGGAACTGATGTCCACAGGCCCGTGCCCCCTACGACCTCTCCGATGAGGCTATCGCTCACACCGTAGCTGGCCGTTTGCGAGATGGGACTACAGGAACACAACGCTCGCGCGGACCGGACTGGCAGCTCATCCTGCCCCCGTTGCGTTGCAATCAGCTTGGTTCTTGTTTCAAAGCCCCTTTTAGGGGCAATTGCTCAGCAGCGACACAGCCAGCCCGCTGGCGATACTGCTGCGCCAGGCTGGACAGGGCCTGCTGAGCTGCAACAGGACTGCTGCCCATGCTCATGCCATAAACCAAACTAAATATGTTCCCACCAAGAGGGAAAAGCCTAGTCTGCTGGTGGGGTGGATTCTCTTTTCTGTAGAGCAGCGAGGCTGGTTCACTCAAAGAGCACTTTGGCCAACTTGGAGGGGACACACAAGCACCCCAGAGAACCAGCAAGTTGCTATCTTCCTAGCCCCTTGGTATTGGCACTGGATTCACTCTGCTCCAAGCCGCTGGACAGGAAGCGCTGTTATTTCGCAGTTCCCCTTTAAAAGCAGCATTTGTCTTTAGGTGAGCTAATTGGCCTGGTTTGTCCCAGCTGCAGCTAGCTTTAATATTACACCAGGTAGATGATCTCCAGGAACAAGACAATTTCTGATGCTTCCTGCTTACTATAGCCTCAGCCCCTCCAGGGCTGCAAACAGACAGACATCCTGCCATTTCCAGACTCTCCAAGACTGGAGGAGATCCCATGCTGAAAGGAAACGGGAGAATTCCCAGCATTCTTCCCTGCAGACATAGGGCATGCTATTTGCAGGCAATTATGCAACACAAGTTGCTCCGAACCAGCCCACCTTTAATTAACTCAGCGAGAGATATGGAAATGCCAGACAGCGAAGTACAAAGCCAAGGAGCGGAGACAGCCAGCGTTGGGCTATTTTCCGTGCACCGAGCCCCAGTTGGACACAAGGAATCTGAGCAAGACCCCCTTTAAACAAGGGCACAAACAAGTAGAGAGACCAAATGAGCAACAGAGACAAACCAGCCCACTAAAGAACAGGCCTTTTCTGTTAAAAAAAAAAAAAAAAAGAAAAAAAAAAAAAAAACCCACCCAAAAAAAAAGGCCTTTTTTGTTAAAAAAAAAAAAAAAAAGAAAAAAAAAAAAAAAACCCACCCAAAAAAAAAGGCCTTTTTTGTTAAAAAAAAAAAAAAAAACAAACAAAGAAAGAAAAACCTGTGCAACAGGTTGCAAGGAGAACAAGATTCCTGCTGAAGGAACACAAAATTCAGAGGCTTTTAACAAAACAGGGAGTCTGGTGAAAAACTGGAACAAAATCCTCGGGCTCCCAACAAGTTCTCCTTTTGTTGAGAGCCCTTCACACGCTTCACAATGACGTGCAGTTGCCCCTCCAACCTCACACAGGACTGGAAATTCAGACTGGCTGCTGCACTCGATTAATCCTCCAAGGGCTGCCCACTCTTATCTGTGCAAAGTGCCCCTATTTACTGGCTCACCGCTCAATGGCTTAACCGAGCTGGCTATTAAATGCTGCCTTTGGGGCTCTGGCATTAGTGGTTCCCAAAAGGGTAGACGACCGTGCTCCGAGAGACAGGACATCAACCACAAGAGAAATAGATTATTTCCAGCTACTCAGCGAGTCAAGCATTTTTCAGGGCAGACTACACGGTCAGCTGGAGCTTCAGGGCACCGCAGACAAAACAGCTAACCTCTGCCCTCCAAAGATTTTGTTTAATAACAATAAAAATGCAGGGCTGAGACGTGCCATCTCCGTGAGTCACGGGGTTAAAACAGGCAGCATGTTATCAGGGCAAGAGAGGGGGACCCCTACCAAGGTAAGCAAGAAAGAACAATTGAAATGGAAGAAGAAAGGCAGGGAAGCGAAGCTGCAAGGGAGCTGAAAGAGCACAAAACGAAGAGCAAGGGGAGAGAGAGAGCAGATCCCGCTCTCATCACAAATCAATGGGAATGCTGAACTCAACTCTCCTAGGAGCAGACACACAGGCAGGGAGCCCCGCTGAGCTGGCTGGCCTCTGGGAAAAGCAGAGGGCTTTGTCCCAGCTTATCTGGCCTTGCCACGACCCAGCCTTAGTCATCCTCACCTAATTCATTGGAAACCCATGGGGAACCGACCCCCTTTGAGATGACAGGTGGGTTTTGATAAAGGGAGGGAGGGAGGGGGGAAACAAAGGCTGACTTTTTCAAACAAATGAGGTGCATAAGCATTCAGGAATTTGCACCGGTAATTACCACAAGCCTGCATGCAAATCAGGTAACTGCATATACCATCCGGCTCATTCCTCTGGCCAGGGAAGAACAACTATGATTTGTGGCTCAAGTTAGACAAGATTTTATAAAGATACCAGATTTACCCAAAGAACCTTGTCCTTAGACCAACACAGTTACAACCTACACTCCTGGCTCGAGTTAGGTGCTTTCTTTTCAGTTCCAATTAAGTCACGAAGGTTGGTATCTTAACGTGATGGAGAACGCACTGAACTGGTCGTACTGCGGCAGTCTTTGGCCTGCCATTTAGACTTCCAGCGATGGGTCTCTGACACAAGACATCTCCCAACTCTTTATGTAACATGCAAAGTATTATGGATGGACATACCTAATAAAAAGAGACAGAGGAGCCCAATTTCATCCCAGCAACATAAATCATGAGTGAACACCATGTGATTCAACTAAGATGTGCCAGTGTCAAGCGGAGCATCAGACCCCTGGTATCTCAGATACACAACAAGCCTGGTTCTCCTCTGGCTGACAGGCCTGCTATCTTGATCCGTGAAGCTAACAGCTTGCAGCTCAACATGGCAAAGCTTTGGGCAAGCAAGTCATTTTCCATGTGAATACTGTACTGCCCCGTGCGGACAGGCATCCGGATGAAGATACACATCATGTGAAGGCAAAAGTGAAGCAAATGGGAACTCCTGAATTTGAGAGGGTGCTAGAGTTGTTTTCAGGTTGAAAGCAATAATACTTAAAGCCCCCCTCCCCAAAGGTAGAAGAATGACTTGAGGAAGAATGTCTTGCATTTGAAAACTAGGCTAACTAACTACCTTTTATGGGACCAACTGCACAGTTGGGATATCACCCACAAAAATCTTTGCCTCTTGCATAGTTCCTGGATCAAACCTACAAAAACTGAAGTTGGGATAAATGCCTACCCCCAAACTGTTCCAGGCTCCTGGGACATCTCAGAACAAAGCCTGTAACGCTGCAGCTGATCATTTAGGTCAGGGGTGGCCAACATGCAGCAAAGGCTGCCTCTCTGTGCGGCACATAGTAGATCAGGAAAGGGGACCGGCGGGCAGCACAGCAGCAGTCAGAGCAGGAAGCAGAAAGTGGAGCAGGAGATCTGGCAAGGGGACCAGAGTGGTACTCAGGAAGGGTGTGGGCTAGTTTGTGGCACTCCTGCCAAGAAGGCTGGCCTGCACTGACTTGGTTGGTGTGGAAATGCAAGTGTAAAGGTAGCACATTTCCCTTATTGTGTTCAGTGAGTCTTTGGAGCACACTCTGCCTTGGAAGAAGGACAGAAAGGCTTTAAACTCAAGTCTGAACAGCAAGTCACTGCTTATTGCTATAAACACTTTCTCCTAGGGACAGACATTACACATAAACCAGTTTTAGTGATTAGAAACTGGTTTAAACCTGTAACGGAACAGACATTCAGTACACATACACCAGTTTTAAAATGGCCCAAACCGGTTGAATCAGACTTAACTGATTTGGCTCAAACTGGTTTCTCCAATGTCTGTCCCAGACCCACGTAGCCGACTTAGTTAGCAGAGCACAGGCAAGTGCTGAACAAGCGTCCCAGTGCAGCTCTCCTGATGCACCTCCATCCTGACCTGCATCGTGCCTGCTGACTGACTGCAAAAGCTCCCACAATGAAAACGCTGACAGCTGTCTGTTTGGCTAGAACAAAACTGGACTTCATCCTAATCTGACCAGGCTAGGAACGATGCCACAAACCCACCAGGTGTCTTTAAAGACTTACTGGGAACACATGGAGGGGGAAAAAAAGGTGCATTTCCCTGTTAAAAAAAAATTCTACCAGTGTCAACAGTCAGTGGCAGGAGAATTTCTCACGCCTGCTATTTTATGTGGCCACAATGCAGCATTTATCAGGCACCTCCTACCAGTGCCTGCCTTCTCTAACTACCAGACCCTGCCAAAACTTACGGCGTGCCCATCCAAACTGAACTTCCGGCGCTCCTGGAGGAAAGCCTTCCTGACCACAGCTGCGCCATGTACACCATGAGGTAGGGACGAGCAGGTGAAAGGGTTAGGCCACTAACTTAATCTGCTGAAAGAGTGCACCAATGACATACAGTTGGAGTTCATTATTGTCCTTTCAGTCTACTTAAATTGAACACTTCCCCCCCACCTCCCTTATTGCCCAAGACCCTGGGTGGTGTTGAAAGCCCTAAAGGGGATGAATTGGGAACTCTGACCTTTGCGCTAACACCTCCTTTTTTCCTCCCTTCCCTTTTAGGTGCTGCCTGTGGCCACGGAAAGAAGCCACTACAAAAGAAGTTTTCTAAAGCTTTCAGCAGGACCAAAGGCTATGGCCTAGGAAGCAGGCTCAGATCAAAGCACTCTCCTATCAAAGCTGCACAGAAGGACAGGGAGGGGGTCACTACAGTCCTCTCAAAGCCTGAGCGGCTAAGTTTGTCCTGGAAGTAACTGGGAGAATGTAAAGAGCTAGAGCAAGGCAGCCCTGGTGAGTCACAAGGCTGTAATTTTAGTGTTTAATGCCGGCTGTTATAAATCGGACATGGCAAGTGAACACTGGTTGCAGATGGGAGTGCATACACTTAGATGTGAATACCCTGCTTTTTGCTAACTTGTAACAAAAAAACCTGTTTTGTTTCAAGGGATTAAGTTTTCAGGTAGTGTAAATCTGGTTGCAACTGAACTTGTTCCTCAATGGCACTTCCGCACTAAACACTAGACTGGCAGCACTGCATAGTCCCACTGCTACAGCTAGGATTCACTAAAACCTTACTTACAGTGGGCCATTAACTGCTCCACAAAGCCATCCTTGCTCAGCAGCTTATTTATACCAGCATTATGTACAGGAGCCTGCTAACAACTATAAAGCAATAAACTGGAGAAAGGGCGCTGCTTTTCTAGGAGCTGCCAGTCTAACATGGGGTTTTGCCCTTTGGCATCCTTCCAACCACTGGTAGCTTAAGGACTGGAGAACAGTAAATCAGCTGCCAAACCTCATTTCCAACCCCACAACTTGCAATGACCGGTTGCACAACAGCCATTTTCCAAACCTTCCCCCCGCTTTTGGAGGGGTTACAGGCTGAGCACAGCCATTTCTATAGCCCCACTGGGAGAGGTGACCTAGCACGATAGAGCCTTTAAATAACCCAACAGAAAATATTGACAAACAGCAGCTGTCTGGATCAATTTGCCCAAATTTGCTGGTGGCTTCTTCTCCCACCCCAGACATGTTCAGTGTTATAGTGGCTCCCAGGTACTTTGGCCGTCCTCACGGCATGACAGCGGATCTGGGATTCACGGAGCTAAGCCCCCTGCTATACTTCCCTATATCGCACCAATAACTGGTTAACTATATAAGACATTTGGACAGGCCACGGGTGAAAAGTAAGATCCCCACAAGCGCAAAAGAACGATCGCACAATTAACTAGTTAAAGGCCCCATCCGTTTAGACGCCAAGTCCATCTCGCATCCTAAAAATAGCTGTGCAGTGTCCAGCTACAGACGCGAAGTCCATCTCACACCCTAACAACGGCTGTCCAGCTATCAAGTTGTTACACGCTTTCAAGCACTAACTCTAGAGGCCGCTTTTCTTTCGGATGCGTCTCACGGCCCTAAAACACAAGCGCTCTCCAAACGGTGCCCGCTCTGTCCGAGAGGTCGCCGGCGGTACAGTCGCCTTTGCCATCCGCGTGCCCGCGCTCGGCGGAGACCCGGGGAGGCGACAGCCTGCGGCTGTGCCAGCCCTGCTCCCTGCGCAGACGGAGCGGTATCCGGGTCCAAGGTCTGCGACCCGCGGTAAAACCTGACGCGGTTTCTTCCTGGTGCCCTGCCACTGCCGCCCTACCTGGATGGTGTGGTGCGGGTCGCCCCCCGCCACGGGCCCGCCCACCAGCTTGCAGTACAGGTCCTCCAGGGCGCCGCCGTCCTCGCCGCAGGTGGCGGTGGCGGCGATGCGGGTGCTCTCGGCCAGGTTGAAGTAGGGCGGGTGCAGGCTGTGGCCGCCGGCGGGCGCGGGCAGCAGCGGCAGCAGCAGCAGCAGCGCGGCCGGGGCGCAGCGCGGC